AAGTCCTGCTCTATTGTTACTACAGTCAACAGCATCAAACACTTCCAGGTAAACACTGAAATTGACTTTTGCACGCACGTGCCCAGTTGTTCATCGTTTCGCCATTTATTGCACGTTTTTCTCTTCGCTAACAATGAGTGCGATATAGACTCGTGTGGCAGATGGTATAACTTTGGCCTACGGTGTAGATTTGTATCAGTGACCAATTGCAAACGCACTTGATGATGTCATATCTGCTGAAGTGTGAAAATTGCTCAAGCTTGTCTGGCCACGGGGCTGGAGGAGCTGCCAGTTGTACGTGCGTCGATGTCAGTCACCCATCCTCTCAGCTTCTCGGGGAATGCCAGGCACCAAGGTTAATAAAAAAAATTTAAATTGAAAAAAATTCTGTCATGAAATAAAATAAAAACTAAAATACTTTTAAAAAAAGAAAGAAAAGAACAAACTGAAACTACATTTTACGTTTACAAAAAAAAAAAAAAACTATTATCATGACATTTTTGTCTTTGGAAATTAATTTAATACATGTGCATTTGGGGTTAATTTTAAATTGATATTACAAAAGGCCAAAAGGTCATCAGTGGTCCTTTTACTGTGTTGCAGAGGAGCGACGTCATTTAACGGCAGCCAAGAAAAAAGTGCCACCAGATGATCGTAGGCGATAACCATGCTTGTGGTTTGTGTGTTTGGAATAACTATAGTTAGAAGCACAATACTAGGTACCAAGTGCTCTACATTTTCACCCATCCATCCATCCATCCATCCAACCGGATGTACCCGGAGAAAACCCACGCAGGCACGGGGAGACCATGCAAACTCCACACAGGAAGGCCGGAGCTGGAATCGAACCTTGCACCTCTGCACTGTGAGGCCGACGCGCTAACCGGTCCTCCCACCGGGCCGCTGCTTTGCTTTTTTTTTTTAATAGATATAAATAATAAAGGGGAAAGGTGGAGAAGGTTGGACTTTTCTTTCGAGTCTAGACAGGACGTCATGTCACTTCCTCAAACAAGAAAAGGTCAAGGTTTACAGTTCACCGTTTATCCCATCACGACCCACGGCAAAGTATTTGACAATATGTTTTACTCTGTCCCGTGTTAGTTCAAGCCACGGCCAGACTGCAGGAGAACAAACCCATTAGAAGGATTCGGCCCTTACCTTAGGACGTGACATTTTTCTAATTAACGTGGGGAATTATAATCAGTCGCCTGGACGCAGGAGCAGCGTGTGGGAACGGTGATCAATCTTAAGATTGGCGTTTCTAAAAGAATATAAATCATCGAGCCTGTCAAGCACCATGCCTGAAGCTATAAATGTGAACTTTAAATATTCCCTTCTCCTTTCCAAGTTGGCTGTGTTAGAGGGGAAATTAGGGAAATATAAAAGCAAAGCAGCTGTGTATACACTAAGCATTACGACACGGGTCTAATTAAAGCAATGAAGCACAAACTTTTTACAAAGAGAAGTTTTGACACCTTGACGTTGGAACACAGCAATTCGTGAATCACCAATGACGGACTTCTTTGCCAAAGTTCTTACGCCAAAACCAGAATCCGAAGAGGCCTTTTGATTGTCTCTTCTTTAATGTGGTACTTGTCAGCACTACCGCCACCTACAAGTCTGGAGGGGAACAGCGGCAACAGTGACACATTCCAGTAAAATTAAGTGGACAGCTTTTCAGTGAACAGTTTCTATTCTACCGATAATTTAATCGAAGAGGGTTTACTGTCCTGCATTTTCCACCGCTCTGTATTTTTCTGGCGACCTTTACATGAAATGTTGAGAGAGGAACCTCTTCGATGAATGCGCGGTGCGTCGACATCATGCCATAAAAGTCAAATTCAATCTTGCTCGCACCCAAAGGACATTTGAACGCATCCCGCGGGGGATTTGCGGCATCAAAGAATCCACCATACGGCGACGGGTGTTGCTTTGGTTTGCCGCCGCTCGACAAGCCACACAGGAATACTGCGTTTAGCTGCCATAACTACATGTCAGCCTCTCTCCTCCGCTCCCATCTGTTCCCCTCTCCGCTTCCATTATCTCTCCCCCATGCCGAGCTGCGCGTCCTTGCAACCTCCTCCATCATCGTCGTCCCCGCGCAGGGGGCTACGTGGAGGCAATCCAAGTCCGGTCTCTCGAGTCCTGCCTGGGTGACTTCCATCGCTAGTTTTGCCCCTCCTCCCACCCCTCAGGCTTTACTTTGGGCCTGTGAGCCGAAGAGCTGGCAGCTTGGGGGAGGCCCATTGTTGGAGGGATTAACCACACGCGGCAGTTATTGTGCGGGGCACACAAACACACTTGGGCAGATGTGGGGGTCACGTTTTCCAGTGACTGCGCTCGCGGCATATCAATGTGCTGAAGGTGATGATCAGAAATTTTGCAAAAGGAAAACTATTGACGACGCAAGCGCATGACCAATTCTACTGCCCACATTGTTCTCTCTCTGTCTCTCTCTTTGCACTATTTAAATCGAATTTTTATGGCAAGTGACGCCGCTTGAAACATCACCATAATTTTGACGCATCGACTTCGAGACCCGCTCGGAATTGACGCCAAATAGCAGCATATGACACCCCTGTTTCCAATGCCCGAGCAAACGTCACGCACGCGTCTGCTAGTCCATCTAACTGAAGTTATTGATCGGTGATTCACAAGAGAGAGAGAGATGCCCAAGACTTTATCAGCATCTAAAAACGCAGCGGTGATACTGCAGGTGTAATCCGCAGCACGTGAGATGATCTCCAACAGAGGGGCTCCAGATAAGAGTCCTCCTCCAGGGTCCAGTCTGTGTAATCATGTTCAGATTTGCTTTCACACACACTGAGAGTAGAAATGTATACTGGAGCTACACCGCCACAAAAAAAAAAAAAAAAAAAAAAAAAGGTCTAAAAGGAGACATAGCACACATTTATTTAACATTGCAAAACAGCCTTCGGTTGTCTTAATAACATCCACTCCATGTGACAAACCGAGTTCTTGTCTTGCTGAAAGTATTTATGGGGGGGGGGGGGGGGTGGGGGGGGGGGGGGGGGGGCTTTTCTTTTTCCGCTTTTTGTTGCTTGCTTTGTATTGTCTATGGTCTTGAGATTGTTCTATACATTGAATTTAATGTGAGTGCCTCTGCATAATTGTGCCGACGCATAAAAATGTGCCGTCGCTTGAAAGTGGCTCAGGATCTTATCCTAGCCCCGTTGATCATGTCATGGAGGGAGAAACTCAGCTGTGGCAGAGGTTATGAAGCAAATTGAGTGTGCCAAAAATTCAGAAGGGCTTGCGCTCAAATGCAGTTTCGGAAAGAGGGAAAATATTCCTTGGTGTAAAATTTCAATGCATTCCAGAAAATAAATGTGTCAAGTGATGAAATCCACTTCAGCCTGGAATAGTAACATGCGGGAAGCAAAAAAAAAAAACCAAAAACAAACACAAACAAAAAAAAACCACACACACACACACACACACACACACACACACACACACACACACACACACACACACACACCCAAATATTCCATATATTTGCCTAAATAAAGATGTCCAAATAAAGGCAAGTGCCAGGGGGCCATCAGAAGATGGCAGTGAAGATAAGAAAACAAGGGAACAAAAAAAAAAAATAGAGGAATTGAAGCAGGCGTCTTGTTCCACATTTAAATATCACTCGCTCTAATCATATCCACCCCGCAGTCCCCCCCCCTTTTTCTTTGCCTCTTTTCACCAATCGAAACAATCCCACAACCCGCCCCCACCCCTAAAAATCATTCACCACCCCAACCTGCAGCGCAGAGTCCCAGCAGCAGCAGCAGCAGCTCACAGGAGAGGTGGCACACTTTGAGGATAAATTTAGAAATGAAGCACAATCCCCAGGCCGGCATACAAAAGAAGGGAAGTCGAGACAACACACACACACACACACACACACACACACACACACACACACACACACACACACACACACGTGCCTGATCACATGCGGCAAACAGCCGACATCCTTTCGGCACACTGAGACGATAGCATGAAAGAAACGTGCGTTAGAGGGCGCTCAGCGAGACTTTGCTGCAGTCAAATCAGGTGAGTGGAGCACTTTGAATGAAACGCGACGGGTTCAAAGGAAGTTTGAAAGGCGACGAGGGCCACACAGAGGGAGAGGAAACGAACGCCACGAGAAGAGTCAATGGCGTGAGAACGGTCTCAAATACTAGGAGAAAAAGATTTTGGGAGACTCGTGGCAATTGTTGCAATGCTAAAGTCGTAATCGCGAAGAATTAATGTTGCAATATAACAAAAAAAAATATGGAATATGAGGATAGTCATAATATATAAGTTGCGATGTGTTTGACAAGACAAATGTGTCATATTGCAAGGGAAAGTCGTTGGGAAGACCAGCATGATCCTAATAAGATTGGATAAGAAAAATGAAGGGAGAGATGGAGGGCTGTTATGAGAGACGAAAAGAACCCGTTCGGGGAGGAGCAGTGGCGCGCAGTGTATGTGCCCCAGTGCGTACGCGGTGCGAGTGCGAGAGACAATTCCTCCAGCCAAGTGTCCTCCCGTCGCCTCAAAGTCACTCGCTTTCCTCCTTCGTCTATCTCCTGCCGCGCCGCCTGCTTCTTGTCGGGGGGTCCGAGTCTACTCTGGTATTAAGATTCCCATTACGCCACCCAACCCCCTCTCCGGAGCATTTGATAAGTCCGTGCTCATCTCATGCTGAAGGCACAAAGCATTTTGAAGACTGCTTGCCCCTCCCGTAACAATTTAATAACGGCATTATTCTGCTTCCAAGGTCAAACAAGTGTAAAATAAGGCAATCGTGGAAAAATAAAAAATAAAAATCATATTTTCTTTTTCTGAAAAGTGCAACATCAAGAGTGCTCAAAGCTAATTCTAAGTCATGGTCACCGAGGACACCATATGGACAGAAATTTGAAAAAAATTGGAAAATGTCTAAACAGCGGGAAATGTTGGTGGCATTTAAGAGTGGTGTTGGGTTTCCTCCCACTTACCTGATCAATGTCAGCAAATAGGACACTTGTTTCATGGATTCGACAGGATTCTATAATTTCCTGGGTTCCTCTGCAGTAGAGTTGGATCCCATCATCAACGGTAACTGGAAGTTTAAAAAAAAAAAAAAAAAAACTGAAGTTACACTGTGTTAAAATTACGACTACGGGTGCGGAAATATTTCAACTTGAACTATCAAAAACATGACCCAGCTCTTGCAATAATCAGACTGTATGCTCATGTGAATCAAACACGTTTCTTTTTCTTGTGAAATGTATTTATTGTTGCGAAAGACCAATTATTCCAGCTTCTGGTAAAATTGTGAACTGTTGTTTTAGCATGACAATTTTTGCAAAGTCAAGACTTTGGTAAAACAATGACTGCATTCTTGGATAGTTGCAAATATATATTCTCATAAAATTACAACTATAACTGTAATGCACATAAAAAAAATAACTTCCTCGCTATAATTTTACTACTCTTCTGACTAAGTCATGATTTCAGTGGAAAATATTCACGTCAGCTTACTCGCTTTTCCCCTGTAAAATCGCGTATTTACTGTAAAATGATAAAAAATAGAGCTTCCTTGTTTGAGAACTTTAACTGCCTGTAAGTTACTCTTGTTAAAATAAGAAATAAAACAAATAAATAAAACAACTTTCCTTATGTAGTATGAAAAAACTATGCCGATAGCTGTTTTATTACCACTTCTTCCTATAAAATTCAAACTTATTGTCATAAAAGCTCCAATGGTGTTCTTGTTACACAGTATTACTTTCCCGATGAATATTTTTTTTTTTCCAGCGACGCCAAGTGTCACAAATTAACATGACGTCTTGAAAACTCATTGGCAAACTTTATCGTTTGTCAAAAGTGCACGCAGCCATTCTGTCAGAGCTACCAGGCAACGGTAGTATCATCCGTCTAAAGCCAAACGGCCAGCCAGCGATTTGCAATCAGGGGTTTGCCCGTGCGGAAACAGACTTAAGCGTTCAATTGTCAAGTGTGTGTTTTGCCAGTCAGTCAGTGGACGTGCAGTGACCGGGGCTGCCGTTTAAGAGCGCCTTTTGCTTCTAACCGAGACAAATTGTCCAAGAGGGACACCGGAGAAGAGGCGGGGTGGGATTACTGAACACATGCTGCAGGAATAAACACGAGCAGGAACCTCCGCAGATCAATAGCCACGCTAACTAAAACACACACGCGGGCAGGGAAAAATAAAAAAATAAAAAAATCACGTCCGCAATTGAGAGTCTGATGCGGATCAATGCTCACAGTGAAGGGAAGCACATTAATGAACACATATTTGTATGCAGCAAACATCTCAAACAAAAACGTGTCACTGTGTCTGCAACACAGTGCAAATACAATCATGCACAACAGGTACACAAAACACAAAAGGGGTAATAAAGCCCATACACCACAAACCACTTTGGTTCAATAAGGAGCCATTCGACAATAAAATAGCCTCGGAATAGCATCTCTGTCGTTGCCATGCCGACATGAGATCACCCACTTTAGTTACCGATATGATCTATATGTATGGTATGGTGGCAGGGAACTGACTTTATGACATAGCTGAAGTTAAAAAAATAAATAAATAAATAAAATGAAAAAATTACAATTACATTTTGTGTATTTGAAACAACCACAGAGCTCCGCCTTTAAAGAACAGCGCAACGACGTTCATTTCTTCTTATGAGTTGAATTAGATTTAAGGCTTCTTTTTTTATTCGCAAAGACAATTTTTTTTTTTTTTAAGTGAAAAGAAAATCTCTTACCTAGGTGACAGTTTTTGGCTGTCACTTGACCTCCGACGAAGGCTGAAGTGACATCCGAAACTGTCAGCTAGGGAAGAGTTTTTTTTAACTTTTAAAAAAAACAAAACTTAAATCTAATTCATCTTAGCCTTGAAATCCGATATTTTAATGTTACTCCCAACACCATTGGCGTGCTTACGATTAGCATCTTCATGGTGGTGTTATGTGTGAAGCAATGCATATTGGAAAACAACCGGTGGCGCAACATGTGGACGGATGACACTCACAGGCAATGAATATTACTGCTGAGGAGTTGTCATGTTTCCGTCTTGTACCCTGGTATGGTTGTATTATACTAACCCTTTCTATTTACAGACTACAAATAAACGCCGTAATCACAACTACTAACTACTGCATTAGTGTCAGTCAGTAATAGACTTGAAGTTACGTGGCCACCGTTAGGAACTGAACAATTTTTCCAGAGCGGTTGACGACATCTGTCAAAAGCATGCCGCGTCATGCTCATTGAGTGACAGCATTGAGCACATTTGAATTCATCCTTCCTGCTAACTTGACATCCATTGAACTCAGTCTCAAAAGAGAATCTTCCTTTCAACCTTCCTCAGCAATTTCTCTCAAGAAATTAAAAAGATGGCAGGTGTGAAGACGCCCACGTGTCTCCAGTAAGTGAGGCTGCTATAGTGAGACAGTATAAATAAAGTCTGATTAGATAGAAGCGTAATCTCGTGAGCTCTGATGTCAATTAAAATTCAATTTTGCTAGCACATTAGCACACACACACACACACACACACACTTTTAAGCAGGCAAAAGACTCTCCAAGTGTGTTCAGTTTGTTTGTAAAAGCACAGTTATAACAGCCTCATTAATGTGTCCTGATGGATCAAGATGACTCCATTTTTTTTCATACAGGGGCCACCATTTTTGACACACTAAATGCTCTGAAGTGGCCTATTGGAACTGTCTATGCAGCTACTTAAGTGGTTTTCATTGGACCGTTCTAGATTTATGACCTACAAGTGTTTGTCCTATAAATATTGACCGTAACTAGAACTTTATTGCTGCATTAGCGTCGGTTAAGCCCATATCCCACTGAGGGGGGCGAATATTTGCAACCGATGGCAAAGGTAGCAAAATGCCCGTCAGGACAAGATCGCACGTTAGCAAGATGTTCAGCGGGGGTGTCAAACTCTATGTCGTGGGCCATATTATAATTACCGTTTCTCTTGGAGGGCCGTTATGACTGAAACTATATAAAGAAGTCCAGAATAACATTTTATTCAAATATTGTTTAAGTAACTGTAATGAGGGGTTTGGTCACAAGAAAATAATTACAATATGTCACTGATTTATTACATGTGAGAATTAAAAATTAAAAATGTTGGTACATATTTTAGCAAGCATCGTGGAAGTTGTCATCTTTGATTTGCTTTCGGGGGCCACTTAAAATGATTGAACGGGCCAAATCAACTACTGCATTAGTGTCAGTCAGTAATAGACTTGAAGTTACGTGGCCACCGTTAGGAACTGAACAATTTTTCCAGAGCGGTTGACGACATCTGTCAAAAGCATGCCGCGTCATGCTCATTGAGTGACAGCATTGAGCACATTTGAATTCATCCTTCCTGCTAACTTGACATCCATTGAACTCAGTCTCAAAAGAGAATCTTCCTTTCAACCTTCCTCAGCAATTTCTCTCAAGAAATTAAAAAGATGGCAGGTGTGAAGACGCCCACGTGTCTCCAGTAAGTGAGGCTGCTATAGTGAGACAGTATAAATAAAGTCTGATTAGATAGAAGCGTAATCTCGTGAGCTCTGATGTCAATTAAAATTCAATTTTGCTAGCACATTAGCACACACACACACACACACACACACTTTTAAGCAGGCAAAAGACTCTCCAAGTGTGTTCAGTTTGTTTGTAAAAGCACAGTTATAACAGCCTCATTAATGTGTCCTGATGGATCAAGATGACTCCATTTTTTTTCATACAGGGGCCACCATTTTTGACACACTAAATGCTCTGAAGTGGCCTATTGGAACTGTCTATGCAGCTACTTAAGTGGTTTTCATTGGACCGTTCTAGATTTATGACCTACAAGTGTTTGTCCTATAAATATTGACCGTAACTAGAACTTTATTGCTGCATTAGCGTCGGTTAAGCCCATATCCCACTGAGGGGGGCGAATATTTGCAACCGATGGCAAAGGTAGCAAAATGCCCGTCAGGACAAGATCGCACGTTAGCAAGATGTTCAGCGGGGGTGTCAAACTCTATGTCGTGGGCCATATTATAATTACCGTTTCTCTTGGAGGGCCGTTATGACTGAAACTATATAAAGAAGTCCAGAATAACATTTTATTCAAATATTGTTTAAGTAACTGTAATGAGGGGTTTGGTCACAAGAAAATAATTACAATATGTCACTGATTTATTACATGTGAGAATTAAAAATTAAAAATGTTGGTACATATTTTAGCAAGCATCGTGGAAGTTGTCATCTTTGATTTGCTTTCGGGGGCCACTTAAAATGATTGAACGGGCCAAATCTGGCCCCCGGGCCTTGAGTTTGACACCTATGATGTTCAGCAACATGTTCAACATTCCCTTGCAGGGGGAAAAATAGAAATGAATATCCTATTGAATGTCTGGCGATTATTTGGCGAACATCTGCGACCTTGAACGAACTCGAGAACGCGGCATACGCTAACTTCTCAGACACTCGCAAATGTTCGCCACTCAGTGGCAGCTTTTAGCGATTCAAGGTTTGTCAAGAGAGGTTCCAGGACTGGTGCTACAAAAGGCATATTTCACGCCCAAATTACGAGCTTTCATCTTTGGTGTGGACGAAAACATCAAGCGGCATGTCTACAAAGAGTCCTTGCGGCGACTCTTATAGCGTTTTGGAATTTGAAAATTTCATATGAAGGGACGTTCGAAATTAGAGGTACCACTGTATACTGTTAAATAAAAAAAAATTTAAATCAACAAATGTTTACGAAAATTACGTTGACAAAGGTATCTACACTCATATTATACAGTATCTTGGCAGTCATTTAATTCCCAGACAGATTGAGGTTGATGTGTTATTCATGCAATTTAACACCTTTTTCGGCTCTTTATTCCCCACCATCCAATCCCTCACCGCTTAATGGAAAGTGGAGGGTCCTTAATTAGGGACTATCTTTTTTTAATCCAAAGCTTTTATAGCAAACTCCACAGAGGAAAAGCCAGCTGCCAGCTTTGATTGGGGTGGACCCCCCCTCAAAAAAAAATAGGTTTAAAAAAACAGTTAAGACTAATTTGAGCAATTTTGCAAGGCAGAT